GGAGGGGGTAAGAGCCAACTCCTGGTGGTCAGATGAAATGAAACAAATGAAGGCAAAGGTAAATGCAGCAGAAAGGAAGGCGAGGAACACAAGGAAACCCAATCACGTGGAGGAACACCGGAAGGCTTGCAGAGAATGGACAGTCATGATCCGGAAAGCAAAAGCGGATCAGCGGGAAAAGACGATGAACGAGGCGAAAGGTAGTGAAGTCTGGAGAATCCTAAACGTAGGAAGAAGAAGAGACACAATCATACCAACCATACAAGGTGAAGAAACGTTTGCGGGGAAGTGCCAAGCTCTAAGAGCCCAACTTTTCCCCTCGAAACGGACGTCCCCCGACCACCCCCCCCTAAACATTAGACCCCCTTCTTTTGACCTTAGCAACACCTTCGACATAGTCACCCCCGAAGAACTTAATAAAGCAATCGACTCCTGTCCAGCGCACTCCGCGACCGGCCCGGATGGCATTCCTTATACCTTTATTAAAGCAATAGTCAAAGCAAACACAACTCTAATCCAAGACATGTTCTCCGCCATGCTCCGGCACGGCGTACACCCAGCGGAATGGAAAATAGCTAAGTGTATCCCGATCCCGAAACCCGGTAAAGCAAACTATCATGAAGCAAAAGCCTACCGGCCCATCTCCCTTCTACAATGTTTCAGCAAAATCCTGGAGAAGATAGTGGCCCAAAGACTCTGCACCGCTGGAGAAATTCTAGGCACACTCTCAGCGAATCAATTTGGAGGAAGACCAACCATCTCGGCAATCGACGCCCTGCTGAGAACCTTAACGCCAATACAACAAAACCTACTACTGAAAAACAGTACCGGAGTCGCTCGGCGAGACAGACCAGCTATCCTAACCAATGATATCCAAGGAGCATTTAACTGCGTTGACCACCTACTCCTCGCGGAAATCATGCAACAACAAAAATTCCCTACCTACCTAACAGAATGGTGCAAGGAATTCAATACCGGCAGAAAACTACAGTTTCAATTCAACCATGAGCTAGAAGAGCCACAGCCCTATGATTCTGGAGTGCCGCAAGGTAGCCCCATGTCCCCGGTGCTATTTATGATCTATGCTGGAGTAATCCTGGACCCAACAAGCAGCCCGAAAGAGATGGACACTACTTACATCGATGACGACGCGCTGGTACAAATATCCAAAACACCAGGCTTCACAATCAAGAGAATGGAGGAACGAATGAGAGAGAGACTAATAAAAGCTGAGCCACTCCAAATTAAATACGACCCGGATAAATCCGACCTGATCTTCTTCCGGCCCACCACATCATCCACACAACAACCACGACTTCCGGTCAAAGTTAACAATATCAATATACACCCCAAGGAAAGACTGAAATATGTAGGAGTCTGGATAGATCCGACCCTCTTCTTCCGGCCCCACATCGAAGCAGCGATCGCAAAAGGCCTTAAAGCCCTCCACCAGATTCGATACACAGCCCGCTTGCCAGGCATAACGGTCAAAACAATCCATCATATCATAACACAAGGCTTCCTCCCAAGCCTACTCTACGGATCCGAGGCTTGGTGGACTGGCGCAGACCACATTATAAGATCCCTCGAACCACCATATAATGAAGCGGCCCGGATCATCACCGGCCTACCACGATGGACCAAAAGAGCTAAACTCCTCCGAGAAGCAGGCCTACCCCCCTTAGAACACCTCCTGACATATCGCTCAAGAAAGTACGGAACCAGAATACTCTGCTCCGAGGCAACCCACCCCAACAATGAATCCCTGATCGAGCTCCTCCCTTACAAAGAAGCAAATATCAAAGGAACAGGCCTACACCGAACCGCTTCCCTACTACTCCCATACCAGACCCCCGGAAATGCGAGAGATAAGTGGAACCAAAATAAACTACTACGCGACCACCTGTTGGAAGAATGGAACACACAATCAATACCGAACTACCACCACCGGGGGGAATTCCGCCCCCCTCCCAAGATAGCGAAACTCACCCTTACGGAAGCAAAAAAAGTATTTCGAATCCGGTGCCAAACCACCCGAATCGACAAACACGCAGTATATACAGACCCCGAACCATGCCAGTGTGGTATGGAAAACTCAGCGAAACACATACTCATGGAATGCCCAGCGTGGGCTCGAATCCGCACCCCCCTGATAGAGAAGATCCCCGGAGTGATGACCTGGGAAAACTGGATGTTTACAAACCTGAGAACGGACCTCATCCTACAATTTGCAAAACAATCTCAACTCTCGAAATAGTACGAGTCGGCGGAGGCGGAGGCGGACCTGGAAGAGGGGATGGAAGAAAATGATTAGGGACGGGATTAGGAAGGGCAGTTTCCTTTTACTCTTTAAAATTTGTTTTTATGTTCTGTTTTGATGGGTCCAGCGCTCGAGTCCGCTGAGATATGTTATTTCTCCTTGTCGTTGGGTTTTCTGGTCGAGTATTGTTCTGGAATTTCCTTGTTACTGTTCGTGCTCGCTTGTGCTTGTCTTGTTCTTGTTCTTGTTCGTTTGCGTTTATGGTTGTTGTTTTCTTTTCTTTCTTTCTTTTGTTCGGTTTGATTTGTGTTTTAGGCGGTTGGGTCGGCGTGCGATAAGTCTTGTACTTCAAAGCAATATAAGTTTCTTCTTCTTCTTCTTCTGTACTTTACCGTTACGAATACTATTTGGTTCGCGCTACGTCATAGGGTTTACCCGGTAAACTAGACCAGGTACGACCACCCATAGTCCATAGTCCACAGTCCCCGTTCTTGCCTTAGGTGTACCCTTCGGCCCCATAGTCCATAGTCCACGAACTTCCTACGTCTACGTCTTCGCCTCGGTTGTATTCCTTGGCTTCATAGTTCCTACGTCCACAGTCCCCGTTACACTTAGGTTGCGTCCTTTACAGCCAACCGATACAACACCACCTTGCTTAGCTCTGGTCGCGACTATGTCCGACACCACTCAGGATACGCTGTTGCAGCGTCTTTCAGAATTTCTGACCACCTATAGTCCCCTCCCAGCCGATAGAGACTTCGGCGAAGAACTCACGGAGGCTCATAGTCTTATTGCTGAGTGTTTGGAGGCTCTCACCAAGCCTCTTGACACCCTCGCGCCACTAGAACCCGTTATCGACACGGCTCAGGAAGAGGTCATTGCCGGCCTCACTACAGAACTAGAAGCAGCCAATGAAAAGGCTGCCGATTTTTGGCAAACCTTGTGCGATAATCAGGAAGATCCTACCGAAATCATCCGAGGTCGCGACGAGGTTATCGTTGCTTTGAAGATTGAGCTGGAAGAATCGAAGGTTGAAGAAGAAGAGCTTCGGTTTCGTCTGGCACTACACCAGGAAAGTCTCGCCATTGCCGACGAGAACCTCGCTGATGTTGAAGATGAGATTCTTTACATCACTTCTGTTGCAAAAGCCTGGGAAGTTCAAGCCAATGCCACCATTGCCGATCTTCGCTCCCGTGTCTCCGTTTCTGCCGCTAGAGTTAAAACCCAATCTCGCCATGTTTCCAAGTCTCGCTACCTCGCCCCTCGCTCCCAAGACCCCCGTACCATCAACAATTGGCGAGAAAAGCCAATTGAACAAGTGTCTCAAAAGCCGGCATTAAAAGGTCAGCCCCTTTGGTAAAAAATGGCAAACCAAAGGGGCCAGCCCCGCCACCTGTTTCTGTTCTCCCTGCTGTTGCTGTGTCTGAGGATAAGATGCCCGAAGACTCTCTTGTTGTTACCTGTTCGATCTCTCAGAATCCCGACTCTGTCATTCCTACTTACGCTCTCATTGATACTGGAGCATCAGGATATGCTTTTATCGATGAATCTTTCGTACGCCACAACAATCTTGCAATGACCCCCTTTAGGAAATCTCGCCAGGTAGATGTTATGGATGGAAGACCTATCCAGTCAGGAGAAATTACCCACATTGTCAATGTTTTACTAGATATTCATGGTCACCGAGAAATTGCCTCATGTTTCGTTACAAAGTTGGGACATTATTGTGAGGGATGCGTACCAGACCACAAGAGTACACTACGCAGAGCTCAGAGTTCGGCTAACAGCTACAAAGGTAGAAGTCTCCAAGGTCTCTTCAGTCAACGTCGAGTATGAATCTCCTTGATCCGATACGGGCCCCGCGAGCTACGTTATCAACCAAGATTCACTAGAGTTAGCGTATAGAATTCGACCGTCTTCGACGTAATAGTTCAGGTAGAGTTCGAAGTCACGATAGAATAAAGTAATTCCAAAAGTATAGTCAAATAAAGTTGTAACTCGCGTATCAACGATTTATATTGTTAAGAATCTGATTTCGCCGATGATGGTTTGGCTAGTCAGTGAATGACACAGTATTTATATCCCTCGCTTATGTCTCGAGGACCCAGTCTAATAATACAGAATACACTCGGGGCATGCCCGAGACCCTGAAAAACAACCAAGAACATTTAACTCCTAAGTCCGTAACCCAAACTCCTAAATCCGCTGAAACCCCTCAACCTATTTATCCACTCTAATGCACATTTCCCTGTCGATGTTTCTTCTCCATCGGCCGTCTGGTGGATAATCGTCAGCGTCGGCTATTCGGAGGTCTCGGACGGCAAGGCTACCTACTCAGGCCTCTTCCCACATCGCTTTCCCACATAGCAGAGTCCTCTCATGCCCACAGGTACCGCCGATAGGTACTCGGTCGGCTGGCAGCTTGCGCCGATTCGCTCCGAGCGGTCCGATCTTCGATCCGATTGATTCCAGCTGTCCCTCATATATCCACCGGTACCAAAACACTCCCCTCCGGCGGTTTGACGCTCCGGGGGTTATTATTGGGGTCGAAAACGTGTTTTTTAACTAGGAAAACCGCAACTCCGCATTTGGTCGCATATCGATCGCACCGCACCTCGTGGGTGCGAACCGGAGTTGATAGTGGTGTTGCCATTAGTATTAGAGGGTATTGGGGTATCTACTAGCCTTTCTTCTTACTCCCGTAAATGCTTGGCATGCCCGTAACAATTATCCCATCGTGATGGGGATACCGTGGATGCGACGTCACGATGTTACCATTCGGCCAAAGGATAATCTACTTGTTTTTGATTCTCAAGACTGTCTTAAACACTGTTCACTCAGTGGGACTGCAGTTACTATTCATGGCGTATCGATTCCCTTACCAGAATATCATACTGTTGTCGTTTCAGCAGCTGATAAATCCGCTACCAACGTCAAGCAACTAGTACCAAAGGAGTTCCACCATCGTCTCCACATGTTCCAAGAATATGACGCTTCTGTCCTGCCGCCCCACCGACCCTCTCATGACATTGAAATAGTGTTAGAGGAGGGTAAACGACCACCGTATGGACCCATCTATGGCCTGTCCCAAATTGAACTAAAAGCGCTACGAGAATATCTTGACGAGAACCTACCAAAGGGATTCATTCGAACCAGTGAGTCACCAGCCGGAGCACCTATACTGTTCGTAAAGAAAAGTGATGGAACTCTCCGACTCTGCGTGGATTATCGGGGCCTAAATGCAATTACGATCAAGAACCGTTATCCGTTACCCCTGTTGAAGGAAACTCTGGCCAAACTTTCAAAGGCATAATATTATACCAAGCTAGATTTGCGTTGGGGATATAATCAGATTAGGGTAGCGGAGGGGGATGAATGGAAGACAGCGTTTAGGACTCGGTATGGACATTTTGAATATACAGTCATGCCATTTGGATTAGCCAACGCCCCTGCCACTTTTCAACATTGGATCAATGATATCCTACGGCCCTATCTCGATCAATTTGTCACAGCTTATCTGGATGATATCCTGATATATTCGGAAACCCTGTCGGAACACAAGGAACACATTCAGAAGGTTTTGAAGGTACTTGATGAGAATCATGTTCACCTTAAACCTGAGAAATGTGAATTCATGGTCCAGGAAACAAAGTATCTCGGCCTTATTCTCACCCCTGATGGGAATAGGATGGACCCGAAGAAAGTTGTTGATGTTTTAGAATGGTCTATACCAAGGAATCTTCACGATGTTCAGGTATTTTTGGGTTTTGCGAATTTCTATCGACGGTTTATTTTAGGATATTCAAAAATTGTTGCTCCGCTTACAGCTCTGACCAAGAAAAATGTCAAATTCGAATAGACGGATGAAAGGGAGGAAGCATTCCAGACATTGAAAAAGATGTTTATATTGGCACCCATACTAATGCACTTTGATCCGGATCGGAAAATCGTAGTAGAAACCGATGCATCCGACTATGTTTCTGCTGGAATCCTGTCCCAACGCGACGACGAGGGAATTTTGCATCCAGTTGCTATCTTTTCTAAGAAGCATTCCCCGGCGGAATGTAACTATGAAATCTATGATAAAGAACTCCTAGCAATCATACGATGCTTTGAAGAATGGCGACACCATTTGGAGGGGGCACAATTTCCGATCGAAGTCCTAAGCGACCATCGAAATCTTGAATATTTTATGTCAACCAAGTTATTAAATCGTCGTCAAGCTCGTTGGTCTGAATTTCTATCACGTTTTGATTTCGTTATACAATTTCGACCAGGAAAGCAAGGGGCAAAACCGGATGCGTTGACTAGGAGGTCAGGTGACCTGCCTAAAGAAGGGGATGAACGGTTGACACATCAAAGTCAAGTGGTTTTGAAGAGGAGAAATTTGGATGGAAAGCTAAGTTTGTTCGCGGGTTCTTTTTCAAATGAATCCGCTGAAGGAATGTCCACTGTAGAGGAGTTGTTTTCAAATGCTTACCAAGTTGACAGTTTCCCGAACAAAGTCCTCGTGATGCTCCGGAATGGCGTCCGCCACTCGAACAAAATCTCCCTTGCCGAATGCACGGAAGATAACAATGGTCGGCTACTTTACCGTGGCGCACTCTATGTACCCGACGACAATGACCTTCGGCTAAGACTTCTAAAAGAGTATCATGACAAACCATCGGCAGGTCATCCAGGCAGAGCGAAGACTTTGGAACTCCTGAATCGAGAGTATTACTGGCCACAAATGCGGAAGTATATCGATCAGTATGTTCGGAATTGCAATGTGTGTGCCCGTAGCAAGGCACTACGCAATGCACCATATGGAGTACTCCGCCCGATGCCAATACCCGATGGACCATGGACGGATGTGTCAATGAATTTTGTTACCGACCTCCCGGAGAGCGATGGATACAATGCAATCTTGGTCGTGGTAGATAGGTTAACTAAGATGCGACACCTAATATCAACAACAAAGGAGGCGGACTCAAGGGAAGTAGCGAGACTGTATATTGACAATGTTTGGAAATTACATGCATTACCCGATACTATGGTATCCGATCGAGGGACACAATTCGTTGCGGAATTCTGGAGGTCTCTTTGCGACCGTCTGGAAATATCACCAAAGTTTTCTACCGCGTTCCACCCTCAGACGGATGGGCAGACGGAAAGGATTAATGCCATGATGGAACAGTACCTTCGGAGTTATGTTTCCTATCAACAAGATGACTGGACTCGATGGTTACCAATGGCTGAATTTGCGACCAACAATCACGTTTCAGAAACAACAAAGATATCTCCTTTCTTTGCCAATTTAGGACGAAATCCAAGAATGACGTTCGGTCCTTTGGAACATGGTAGGACGACAGCAGAGGATCAGGCTAATGGTATTGCACGGGAGATGAAGGAGGTATTAGATTTTCTACGAGATGAGTTGTACTGAGCACAAAGGATTCAAGAAGAGTCGGCCAATACGAGTCGGACTCCTGCCCCTCACTATCGTGTGGGGGATAAAGTTTTCTTATCAACACGCCATGTCCTCACTAAACGCCCTTCGAAGAAACTCGATTGGAAACGCATTGGACCATATATTGTGAAGCGGATCGTTAATCCTTATGCCTATGAGTTGGAACTCCCTCGTTCTATGAAAGTTCATCCCGTATTCCATGTCTCTTTATTGTCGTCTGCAGCAAACGATCCTTTACCAGGACAACAACAGTTACCACCACCGCCGGTCGAAGTTGAAGGACAGGAGGAGTGGGAAGTCGAGAGTATTTTGGATTCCAGGGATCGTCGAGGAAGATTTGAATACTTGGTTAAGTATGCCGGTTATAACGAAGCTTCGTGGCAGCCATTGTCGGATGTCGAACATTCGCCCGATATTGTCAAACGATTTCACGAACGATACCCACGAAAGCCTAAGCCTACCAGGAGATAGGCCGTAGAGGGGGGAGTGGTCTGTAACGGCAGCTAGTCGGATTGGCTATGTGAGTTGTCTGGGTACAAGGGAGAAGGATTATGTAGTGTGGTTGGGTTTAGTAAAGCAAGTTTCTATTATGTTATTTCTGTTTCTGTTATGTGAGGGTATGAGTCAGCATTGGGATAGGGTATGGATATATAAGGGGAGCGTTGTCTCGTGATTTCTTGTTTCTCTTTCTTTCTCTTTTCTCTTTACGCAACCTCTGTACTTTACCGTTACGAATACTATTTGGTTCGTGCTACATCATAGGGTTTACCCGGTATACTAGACCAGGTACGACCACCCATAGTCCATAGTCCACAGTCCCCGTTCTTGCCTTAGGTGTACCCTTCGGCCCCATAGTCCATAGTCCACGAACTTCCTACGTCTACGTCTTCGCCTCGGTTGTATTCCTTGGCTTCATAGTTCCTACGTCCACAGTCCCCGTTACATCCTCGTCAAATTGAAGCCGTTCTTCAGGTCTATCTTTGCGAATATCTTAGCCTTGAACAACCTGTCTCTGAGCTCACTCATGATTGGCAGCGGGTACTTGTCCTTAACAGTGACCTTGTTCAATCCTCTGTAATTCACACAAATCCGCAATGTACCATCCTTCTTAGGAATGAACAATATGGGCGCTGCAGCAGGGCTATTGGATCTAGAGATCTTTCCTGAAGACAATTCTTTGTCCAGGTACTCTCGGAGGGCCTTCAACTCTGGAGCGGAACATGGGTACAGCGGGCCAAAAGGGGGAGCGGTGCCAGGCAAGAGTTTGATTTTCAAATCATTATAGAAATGCGGCGGCATTTCCCCAATCTTCTCTTGACTGAACACATCAGCCCATTCCCAGTATAGGTGGTGTATTTTCTCCGCAATATCACCTCCGTCCTCATCAAGCTACACTGAAGCAAACAATTGATAGACTGTCTCTTCTTCTGCCAGCATCTGATATGGATAGATGAGTTCAATCTTGATGGCTGCTGGGAGCCAATTCTGCTTGCAGGGGTCATTCCTCCAGCTCATGGTGTTGAGTTCCCAATTGAGTTCTGGGTTTTGCTTCCTAGCCCAACTAATTGACAGGTAACCGGTCATTCCTTCTTCCCAAATAGCCACTTCCTATCGCAGTGTCTCCTTATGATCTCCCATAATCATATAAACCAAATAAGTATAGTACACACCTCCTCCCATCATGACATCCCCTTGAGCATCAAACATTGTCAGAGGTTGTAACGGGGGTCTCTCCTAAGAGGAATAGAATAAAGTAGAATAGAGACGGCCGTGCAAGATAGACAATCAGGTTGCAGATTATTCAAAGATACTATCGCTAGAACTCAATAATCTTTAAGGGCTCTGCTACCGATAAGAACTTGGTTTTTCTTTCTGATGAAGACTCGAGAGAACAGGACTGAAGGGCGAGAATGAACCTGAGTACTTATACTCCGAAGGCTTCTATTCTCTGCTCCTAACTCCTTTACTAAGTTCCGGTGGGCCTTCCCTCAGTACCGGAAACAATACCGCCGCTACCCCGCTTTTCTCTAAGCGTCAGCAGGTGTTTCCGATGCCCAAGGCAACCACCCTTAGTCAAAGCCTTTGTAACACCTGCAGGCTTAGTTGTCACACAACCGAGACCTACATGAATGAGCTGACGCTCAAATGTAAGCTTAATCATTGCTGTAGAGCTTTCGCTTATTGTAGACTTCCCTAGCATAGTCCCTGCCTCTTCGGCGGTCATACAATGCTCAGAGGATACAGAGGATCACTGGACAATCAGAGCTTCACTCTGGCCGGTCTTCTAGACACTGGCGAGGCATAGACTCGTCAGTCATTGCTCCCATGAATAGATCCCCTTCCTAGCGCCCGGAATGTAGTTACTCTAACAGCTGGTAGCTAACCACACTGCCGGTACTTGCATATCACCGTGCAACTGGCTTCTAACAATAACTCTCAGCATGTAACCGGGCCCTGTGTGTACTCATACACCAGACAGTTGAGATGGCTCCGTTACAGAGGTTGATCCGGCCGCACTAAGGGGATTCCATGTTTCCTGACAAAACTCTGGTTGAGGATAGCTCCTCTACAACCGGTGTCAAACAGGAAAGACCTTTGGGCGCCTTCATCCTTTTATCACGGGGACCGTAGGCGATAGACTGTGGTGCCAAGGAATACAACCTAGGTAGTGACGTAGACGTGGACGTAGACGTAAAGGTATGCTTTGACTATGGACTATGGGTGGCTCTACCTGGTATGATAAACTGATTGGAGCCCTATGACGTAGTGCGGACAAAGAATAGTATTCGTGGAATAAATACAGAGGTTACGTAGGGAAGAAAGAGAAGAAGGAAAACAGACAAAAGCACGAGACAACGCCCCCTTATATATCCATCCATAATCCAACGATGACTAATACCTTCGCATAACAGAAACCCAAAGAACATAACAGAAATCCCTATTACAAATCCTAATTCCACTACACAATACCTCCTTCCCTCATCCCAGTTCATCACCTAGCCGAAATACATAGCTGCCGTTACACCTTTCCTTTGACCGTCCACGACAGTCCTGCCTTCAGTATAGGTCTTTTTCCATGTATTGGTTAGGAGGGAAGCCTCTGTTCCAACCTTCTTTGCTTAACAGCGGGTTCTGAACTCGTTTCTCTTTGTCTTTTCAACATAGCTAATAGCTTCGGGTACTCCTAAGATCAAAGATCCTTTGGTTCTATTCCCAAGCGATAATATAGCGGGTATGATGTGTAGTAGTTTTTTTGGTAGCGGTTTTGGAAGTGTCTTTGTAGCAAATGTAACTTTCGTAGAGCACTGACAGACTAGCTGTTTCGGGTCTTAAACCTATCCTCAGAGTGCTTGTAGCAATCAAATAGGCGGAAACACAATCATAATTTTATTCAAGAGAAACATAGAAACCAAAAAACCCATATAAAAGAAAACTAGTAAACATAGACTCAAAGAGACATTTTTCTACCAGATGATTTCATTGTCCGAATCTTACTCAGGCTGAAATACAAAATCTTCTGTAACTTCCGGGAGTACAACAATTGGATCCTCTGCCACAACAGCACCCACTTTAGCCTTCTTCTGAGAGTTGGACTTGCAATTCCCTCTTTTCCGCTTTTGTACTCTCACTGCTGCCACCCTGACAACAGTAGGTTCCTTGTACGAACAATCGGTCCATTTGTATCTGAACTTGATGCACTATTGCAGAAGTCAGTCTACGCACTGTACCAATAGGGAGTACCGAAAGGTCATACCTTCAAGCATACTTCTGCTTTCCTTCTTTCTTCTAGAATATTCCTGGGATACTGTTACAGGCATGCCAAGTATTTACGGGAATAGAAGAAAGGCTAGTAGATGCTCCTAATACTCTCTAAGTACTAATGTCAACTCTGGTTCGCACCCACGAGGTGTGGTGCAATTAATATACGACTAAAATACGGAGTTGTAAAAAACACATTTTCGACCCCAATAATAACCTCCGGAGCATCAAACCGCCGGAGGGGAGTGCTTTTGGACCGGTGGATATATGAGGGACAGCTGGAAGCAATCAGATCGAAGATCAGACCACTCGAAGTGTATCGGCGCAAGCTACCAGCCGACCGAGTACCTATCGGCGGTACCTGTAGGCATGAGAGGACTCTGCTATCATCAGCAAACTCTGCTATTCCTCAGGGCGCAGCGCCTACGCCCTGGGCGCCAGGCACGCCAGGCGCCGCCAGGGCAGAGTGCTCGTGCCAGGCGTCGCCAGGGCAGGGTCCTCACGCCAGGCGTCGCCACAGCAGGGTGCTCGCGCCAGGCGTCGCCACAGCAGGGTGCTCGCGCCAGGCGTCGCCATAGCAGGGTGCTCGCGCCAGGCGTCGCCACAGCAGGGTGCTCGCGCCAGGCGTTGCCACAGCAGGGTGCTCGCGCCAGGCGATCCTAGCATCCGCGCCCGACGCCCCCAGAGCAGTATGTTCTCTGTCTGGCAGCACCAGGGCGCATAATCGTCTATACACTCCGCCAGAGCGCAGTGCCAATCATCTGACCACGTCAGAGAAGAGAGCTTTTCACGACTGCAACTCGAGCACTCGCTCCAGCAGAGCTCTCGATCCAAGCAGAGCACTCGCTCCAAGCAGTCCGCTGTCAGAGCAGCATATTCGTACTCCCTAATGAGCTTCTTTGCACTCGCTAATGCTACTGTCTACAGAGTACTCTGAGCGATATCACCTACATCCATAAAGCACCCAGCAATGCTCTCTCCGCAATCTTCTCTAGGCGCGTCGTGCACTTTCACGCGTCATGCACCTCCAGGCGATATGGTGCTCGTCCTGAGAGCACCCGGCGATGCTCTCTCCGCCATGACACGCCTGGGTATGCCTCCTGCGTCTGAAGAACGATCAACTAATGAGTTTCCGCCCAGGGACTGGCAACGAATCACGGACGTGTCGGGGCCCGCCAGGAGACAGCGTCAGCGCCCTGACAGCACTCGTCAGTAATATCTGCGCCAGGAGATCAAATCACAACGAGCTGCTCGCCAGGCGCTGCCAGAGCATATCGCTCACGCCTAGAGAGCACTCGTCAGTACTATCTGCGCCAGGAGAGCATTCTCAACGAGCTGCTCGCCAGGCACCGCCAGAGCATATCGCCCACGCCAAGACACTCTTCGTCAATGAGTTTTTCCAGGCACTGCCAAGAGATATTGCTCACGTCCGGAGAGCACCACGAATGCTTCCATAGCACTGACCAATGCTCGTAGAGCTGCGGAAACATCTTTAATAATACTATTCAAGGTGGGACACCCCCCACTTAGACCCATATGAATCGATACGCTTTCTTCAAAGGCAAGGTAGGCATCGCCGGTCCCTCAAACGATATCTCACGTGGGTATTCTTCACGCCGCTGAACGGTCAGTCGCGGAATACTGATACGAGCACTGTCGTGTATACTGGAGATGGCTACCAAACCTTTGACGAACGTGTATGTATCTGTCGA